AAGAGGTATGTGTTGGATTTGTTTAAGATGTTTCGAACTATGCGGCACTGTGTATACACGGCATAATGCATCTGTAACATTTGTAAACAAGTCTTATGGTTTGTTAGCCACCACAACACAGAAGACTGTGTTATGATGCGGTGGTATGTGTATGTAGATGTATAGGTATCCTCGTGGCATAATTACGAAGAGAAGAATGAACAGATATTATTTACACCTTTTCCAGTTTAAGACCTCTCGATGTAAATTTATGATGTCCAAAGGGGGTTATCTGGGTTTCAACGTCGAACAGAGTTGCATAGTTAACGTACACACTGTTAGGCTGCAAAACATGGGGATTGGTTGGCTTTTACAAAGTGAGATGAGGAAGTCTCAGTAGGTGCAGATACCAAACAAAGTTAGCTTGCCTGCACCCAATTACCTGGAACATCTTCATTTGAAATTGTGGAAACTTAAACTGGGAGAAGTATTGTATACATTTTCAGGCAGCTAAGAAACATGCCCGTCAGCCGTATCGGGGCCGTAGCGAAGTGTATATGATTAAACATGTTACAAAATACGACAGTCTTCGCTCCTACTTCCGTCTGTACTCTGATGTAGACTAAACATTAACACACTTGTTCTACTTCATTTTACTAAGTATTTGAATGCTAGGTAGACGATCACAACGGACCGTATGACACAGCAGTGTGTCGCACCCTTCCCCCAACAATTTTCCAGGGAGAAGTCGAAAAAACAGTCTCGATATTAGGTGTTTTCACTTCAATCTGTTACCTCCTACACCAAATTTCAAGTCATACCTTAGATCAATGTACCCACGCGGATGATTGAGTTGGTGTTTCGTTCATGCTACAAGGATAACTTGAGATTACTTGAGTCAGACAGGAACTTTCCTTATTTTGCCACACAAATGTAGTGGTCACCGAGATTTTGTTGTGGGATGCGTTGAATACTTTGAGGAAAGAAACGAGTAGTTTCTAACTTTCGCTATGCAACACCGTTACGTAACGATGGTGCAACGTTACTTCCTTACAACAGCCAGGGACTATTCTCAATTTTTCCGGAGCAACAACTGGATTTCATGGATCTGCAATTCTTCATCGGTTACCATTCCGATCGATACGTCACCGCTTCACTTCTCTTATTCCTTCCGTGAGTCTTCGAAAGCTTTGTCACTCTGACCGATGAGGCGCGTGAGCTGCTTAACCGTAGTATGATACCATTTGGGTAATTCGTGCTTCAGCCACATCATGTATTCATGGTAGGTAGCACGTACATTGTCAACCGATGTGGTTTCTTCTGATCGCAACAGTGATCTTAGATCTGGGCTAGTGATAAATTGAAGACAAGAGTGGTGAATACTAACCTATGGAGTCCATGGTTAAGAAACGGTGTTGAACAACGACTGTGTTGTGTCTTTTTGACATCCGTGATGACGTAGGGTTACGAAACCTGACCTAGTTGAGGGGATGTTCTTTGATAGTTGCTACTTGCATGTGACTGGTTACAACTGATGGAATCCTAATAAAAGCAATGGAACTGTCATTCAGAAACGGAAATCTGCAACTTAAAAATCACTCATATTTGGTCGCAGTGTTTGCATTCAAATGAAAATTACCGCCAGGCTGTATCGAAAAAAAGCACTTAACTTGAGTTTTGTTCTAGATGCAGCTCATCAGTGGTGCACGTCCTTGTCACGGTCGGAACTAGAACTCCTGCTCGTGTTGCCCACCGAGCCACTGACCTCGTATGAGAAACAACGAAATTATCATGTGTAAATGTTCAACCTAATTTGCGTGTGAGTACTGTTCAGATATGCACTGCTGACGAGCTCTAGCAAGAATGAAACTGAAGTCTGGTTCTGTACTGCGAGGAGGGGTTGAATGAAATAAAAGTTGAGATCAACTGTGAGTGGTGTTTAATTTAGATGAACCAAACTCCTCTACTACTCACTAGTAAAGCTTTGGTTATCTGAACTAATTGGCTGGCGGTTTGTGTGCAAAGTAAATGGAGCAATCTTCGGATTGCTTTAGTTTGGGTGACATAATGCGTGGTGCGAACTTTTGCCTGTCCAATCTATGTCCGTCGGATAGATTTTGAATGTTTCACTACCCCGATTAATGGGTTCAAGAAAAATGTTAGCACGACACGAGATAAGTTTTCTTTCTTCTTTGATGAGCTTGTCGAATGGAACTCAGTGTTGCAAGTTTGCCATTTAAACGATTCCCCGGGGGAGACGATCTTTTATGGAACGGTTATGTTAGAATTACTTATTAATGAACACTGATGACTGCAGTACCATGATCCAGCAAAATAAGCACTATCAACATTGCACTGTACACCTCGTCACGAGGTCGATCTTTCCGCTATTCACTGTCACGTGTTCCCCTCCTTTAGGGTCTATTTTCCGCTGCTAGTAACACGCCCCGTTGATTAGCTATTAAACTGATAGCTTTCTATATTCCTAATGAATACGACTGAGCAGGAATGACTTGTAATAGATTGTTTCTCAATTCATGGGCAACCGGTCTTGTTGAACCCTAGAGAGATTTACCCCTACCAAACAGTAAACAGGGTGCAAGACAATCTTTGTTTTGTCTAGACTGATTGTAAATTTCTGAGTTATTTTTTCGGGAAAGACGCGTACAAACACAAACCCAATTTTCGGTGTCTCATACAATTAAGACAAACTTGAGTCAACCGTCACCATAAAACTCAGAAGCGAGACAGTTCTATGCCGTCCTCTGAGTTTTACTTCACAAAGATATACAAAATATTTGTCATCCGTTGCTTTTTGAGTGCAAGACGCACCTCCGTCACTTGTTACCTACTATGGAGTTCATTAGTGTACCGTCTATATTCCACAAGTCCACAGTTCAGTTTGTCCTACTACCGGAAACCCTACCTATTTTGGTGTACCCTTTTCAAGTTAAGATGTTTCGTGTGCTCTCTGTTGGGCTCAGGTCAGGGCTTTGTGCTGATCAGTCCAGGTAGCGCTATTGGCTACCTCGTTATTTTGTTTTGTAAATTCCATTGGTCGTTATGTGTGTATCTTTCCTCCGCCACGAATTGAAATGATAAGTCCCATAAAATTATCTGTGCATAAAGTTGACGATCGGCGTTCCAATATTGCTACTTCAACCACACTAAGTAAAATGCAACTTCCAGATCGATAGAGAAGGAAAACGGTGGCCAACAAGGTGGTGAAGGAGTTACATGTTTGAAAATAGCTAGAAAGGTTATTGACACAGTGTTGGTGAATCTCACACTGTAATGCGCACCTAAACGATCATGAATACGAAAGACTATCAAAATAGGATTAACATGAGTGTGCCTATTCTGCTTCCAATACGTTAGCCAGTGTTCCATTACTAATAAAACCACTAAAAATTCATATTGTGTCTGAAACAACTACTCACTAATTTACTGCAATCTATTTAACTGAAGCGTGTAATACAACATCGATTACAGTGTGTAGAACAACGTGATAGCCAGAAGAAGTGTTCCATTTATTGATGAGGACGTTTTACTCAGGACGACCCATATGGTTGTTCGTTCTATTGTTACGGTTATTGTATCTATTATTATTTAAAAAAGACTGGATTCGGACCAGTGACCGAAACGGTATACTAAGACTGATCAGGCGTTGTACCAGCTGACCTACGTAGCCAAACTGAGAGTTGAAAAGTTTCACATTTTGACTCAGTTCACCAGTTAACCTTCTGTGTTGTATGGAATCCACCAAATGAGCCAGAGGATTGATAGTCTTGGCTGAATTTCTCAAACAGTGTGTGCCGGAATCCACGAACGTCACTGTTAAGCGCTGAAACTGTATCACTGATAGGAATTATGACAGATTTTATAACTAGGAGATTCAATTTCTGGAAGTCTGATAGATCGCCTTCCGTTTATGGTTATACTATTTCTACTGCTGATTCGAATCCAGTAGAAGCCCAGAATTTCTGGAGTTGAATCTCTTCTAAGTTACCAGAGCTGATGCACCGTTCATCAGTGATCATATAATTTAGTTATAAAGCCGCTTATATCGAACGTTTTTTCACATACGTTGACAAAAATGAACTTTGACAGTTAAAACTTGGCCAGTTGATATGAAAACAGTGGCTCTAAAAGTTTTTTGTGCACCGTGGATTTGTGGACGAAAGAATCTTGTTTAAACAGACACTGACTACAAAAAAATGCGAACGTTAGCACCATCTCATGGTCACAACTGAACGGAAGACTTCTTTGGTGGTCAGTACGTACCGGCTAAGAAGCCTTTATAAAAACTGTTATCAAGCCCTGAACTGTTTTGTGTGTATTTGGTTCATAGTTTTACAGTTTTACAAATGAACTGAGTGCTGGATACTAGACGGGCGAAATAGTTTGAACCCAACAACACGCACATACCTTGACAAGCGTGCATAATGGCATTCGTTTCACTTACACCAACTGTCTGTATTTACAATCATGACCGCCGTTCATTGCAAGAAGGTCGGAACGAAAAGTGCACCCGAGTCGGATGAGGTACAGCGCACCAACAGACATAGGCTGTGTTTTTCTGTGCTGCGTATTGATTATGCTCATGGAAGTGGTTCAGAATGTAAGAGAATAAGCAAGATCGAAAAGTATATCGTAAAATAGTTGGATTCTCAAAGAACCTCGGATTCAGCATGTAATAAGGTTTTTTTCTGAAGCGTAAATTACACTTAACCTCAGTGAACATCGCACTCCTCGGGCAAACAAAAGCTGTTATCATTAAAGATGGTAAGCACCGTTAAGACCGTTCACATGTAGTTTCAGTTTTGATGGACATTAGTTGGAGTACACTAACTTGTGAGCGTGGCAGAGAGTTGCCAAAACTATGAATTCACCCCATTGCCCAAAATACCAGAAGGCTTTTACTCCTAAAATCACCAAGCAACTTGTGTTTTAGCTCATGCTCCATTTGTGAGCCCAATGGATTAACTATATTTTAGATAAGACTCAACTGTTAAAAGTAAGGGCTTCGACTGGATTCGAACCATCGACAGGAACACCATGCCTCAACAAGGCAAACGCTCCACCAGCTGAGCTACGAAGCCACGCCAGGGGCTCGGAGATTTCAAATTTGGACTCGGTTATCCACCCGTCCCACTGTTTCATACGAAATCAACCAAATGATCCAGGGGATCGAGTACCCAGGCAGGATTTATCGGAAAGTTCACGCTGGAATCCTCTAACGCCACTGTTGAACATAGAAATTGTATTACTAATAAGCTGTTTCGCAGATTTATGATTTCAGAACGTCAACTAAAGCTAAAGTGTAGGACGTAAGAAAGGAGCCTGTGTTTATGTGAATATCGTTCATACGTGGCAATGCCACAGAATCGTTGACAATTAGACGCAACCAGCCAGTCACTAGGACCTATGCCACAGCGGAACTCCGTATCAATTTCACCACATCTTCAGTTTTCCGTTTTTGTAATAAAGATAGACTGACAGTCCAGATCTCGTCTTTGTGTATCTACTCCTTCACTTGTTACCGTGGAGCAGCTTATACTGGTCGAAAGTCAAGACAAGGTTGGGGCGAATCCGGGACGATCATCCACCGTTGTTAAGACACGTTATAACACTATCGGTCAACAGTGCTATCGTCGACCCTCTGTTTGAAAGTGGGCACCACGTGAACACTGATCAAGCCTTCCAAGTAGTCTATCGCGTGCTAGATAACCCATGAAAGGTCGTTCGAATAAGAACGCTGTACTGCTGAGGCTATCAAACTCAAGCTGCATGACACGGTATTATGTCACCAAATGCGGTTTGTTCAGGCGATGCGTCTACCATAACTACAAATCCACAAGATCGATGGCCAACCTGCGCGGTCAAAACATTGCACGAGCGTGACGTAATGGACCAATCAAGCCACCGCCAACTGACTGACCAGTGGCCTGGTTTTTTTGTCATAAGTTCGATCGATACCTTGCTCTAGCTCTATAAACTTTTTGTATAATTGCACCAGCTTGAAAGTGAATTATCGAAAGCAGATATTCGTCTATATGTCCTTATTCTCACTATCGCAATGAGCATGCTTTCAACGATAGTAGGAGTCGCTTGTGTGTAGGTGCATTTTCCGGTCTGTGTTATAGGTTCAATTGAAATGTCGTTTGCATATTGAATCTGTTCGTCGCAATCCAGTGACTGACGTTCATGAACGTGGAACCATGCCAGTATACGATAGCATTACTTGTAATCTTCTTAGATAGTGGTTAATTAAGAAATGTTGATCTGATACGATTTAACCTGTAGACAGACTCTTATCTCGCTTGCATACGGGCTGGACATCTGAATTATGGGTGACTATCTCTTCCATATGACTTGTACTCCTAAGGTTGATCTCCGTCACCGCAGCCTAACGTTCTCCATCTTCGCACATGAATGAGTGACATGTAACCTGAATCAAAATCCCAGACCAAACTGGTATCAAATGATTCTACCGTGTGATTTGTTCGGTCAATCACTGAACTCATCTGAGCGTCTGACAGGGGTCGTGAAACGTTTGGCACAACATGCGAACCGGTATCTTCTTCAAAGCATAAAAACAAGTAACACTGTGAACTGTATCGTCCACTTGGTAATGACGTTCTAATTTTTTTTTAATCGTTTCACTTTGTGTAACTTCAATAGAATCCCGCGGAGAACAGTATTAAATTTCAGAATACACTTCATTATCCTTTCAGATAAAAATGGGAAAGCTTCACTCCGATTAAGTGAAGAAGTTGCGTTGCATACTTCAAAAGTTGACCTTTCAGGAGAAAGGACATATTCTGCAATACTCAGAAATAAAATACAAATTTCCCTGACTGATATAGAACGGAACAGCTAGATATTGAACTCTAACAAAACAAAAAGCAATAAGTTTCATACAGCTAAACAATCAGACGTTTAATTAAGCTCTAGTATAGATAAGCTGAGTTGACGATTGCCTAATAAACGTGTAGACTTACTTCCGATGGGTCATTAAGAGCGATTGTTGGCATTACCTACTCTCCTGCTATCTTTAAAGATATTATTGTCATCAGATATAATGGATTCTTTGCTGGACTGAAAACTAAACGAAATGCAATGAGTAATTAAACCTACTGTCCTTCGGCTCGTACAGTCAGTTAACACGTAAAGTTGCTTAGTCTATTCCAGAACGATTGAAATATTTGTAAAATGATAATGCCGGGAGTTAACAAGTAAGGCATAACCTTGTTGTTTAACTCCTGACACGAACAGCTACAATATAAATCTTGCTTTCGTAAACGTCAAATAAACCGAATGACAAATAACCAAATTCCTGTTAATTTTAAGACGAGTTTTCATTTACAAACAAAATCTAATGCGTATGGACTAAATTTAGTGATTCACAAACAAGGCAACGTTCGTAGGTTGTAAATATCACTACATATAAAAATCACATATGATCCAGAGGTTGAAACTAGACGACGATGGAGAATTAATTTCCATATACGACAGAGAAGTCAAACTCGAACTACTAAATTTCAATAGTGTGTGGTGCCAAACTATTTTATAATGTAATTGAGTTATCAACCAGCATCTCGGCTAGAAATGAAAAGCAAGAGACGGTACGTGGAAATCTCAGTTTTGTGCCAAAAACGATAAAACGTTGCGTAACCATTCAAACAAAAGTGCAGATCAATTTTACCATAGTGATGTATGAAAACACTTGCATGAATAAATTAAGTTAATCTTCATTTAACTACATTACGATTTTAAGCAACGTTCGCTTGACAATGTATACACACATGGAAACTTCACTATTAGGCACCACACATACTTGATGGCAGCCTTCGTATTTAGATAAGCGTTTAGGTTAGCTTACTTCCAAGGGAAGCACTGTATGAGCGTTTGGATTTGATTATTCGGTCATGCCTAGTGTGAGGTTTCTGGCGTTGTGGTTAGCACGCTATTCTCACAAGCACGAGCGCCGGAATGCAAACTTGCTGTCAACCCTCCTAAACGATACGCTGGTTCGTTCTCGAAATAGTGGTGCGCTTGATACAAATCGGATTCTCGTCCCGGTACTAATTAACACGGTAATCTCGGTCCCGAAAATGCCGCAACTGTCCCGTGATTTGGTTCCCAAGACAAGCCAAAAGTCGAGTTCAAGAGACACCGCTTTGTTCCGCCCCAACACGTGTGCGACAAAGGCAAAAATTACAAAGTATTTGTAGTGCGCGTAATGACTAAACACTCCCAAGACCTCAAAGAGAACAGTTACCGGGAAAAAAAGAGTTAGGGTCGCTAACGAGCTAACGACCGATTTGAACAGTTCTGCTAATTAAGACTGAGTCGATTGTTTTTTCTTTATCACGACGGAGGCGGCTTGGAACGGTAACAGATTGGGCGCCCTAACAAAACTCTGGTCCGGACAATGATATGTATTGCTGATGAGCTCTAATAAGAGTGAAATTCCAGTCTAGTGCTTCGTTCTAAAGTGGGCTAACAGAAAAGCTTACCGGAATGTGTACGGTGCGATCACGTGTGGGTGATGTTCAATTTTGAAATAACCTAAATCCCCGAACATTCATTACTTACCTGGAAAATGTTGAGGCTGCAACCAATCTAGTCTGGAGTTCACCTGTAATATGCTAACAAGTTTCTCAATTAACATTTAATGAACCAAATTATTGTTTACCTTATTGGTTGTGTCACTGAAGTGCAGTGTGTTGACAGGAGGATATATCGAACATCAGCGAACTCAATAATGGTATGCTGTAAGGATGCATCATCCACGAAGAACAAACTTCGCCATCGCGTTTAATGTTTCTCCAAGAGTCCGTTCAACCAGATTTATTTTACATATAGGTGCGACCATCCAGACACTGAGAATGCTGGCATGAAAACGGGAGCTGTGTTGTTTCCCTTCTATGGACACAGCGTGAACTGTTATCTTGCTAAATCCCTCCTATTAATACTGCTACGAAGTAACAGTGTCATTCTCTCTTATTTTACATATGATGATCCTGCAAACGTGTTAACGGCAAGTGGGGACCTATTGTAATGTACCACAATTTATGCTGCCGCACTTTGGAACTATGGGATACAGAAAAAGCCATAGCATATGAATCGTGCAAACGAAACGTCAGATCAATCTGAAATGCAGGACGCTTGATGAGTTCAGCAGGTGTGGACTTTGCGACTATTTAAAACTTCGTTTTTAACTCTGCGCTATGCACCAGTAGTTGTTTGGCTCTCGTAACTGTGTTACTCCATCAAGATGGAACGTTTACTCAATCGCAGAAAATACTTAGGGTTAAAGGATTTATGTTAATTTGTGACAAAGTGTTATACTACAGCTCGATGCAGTAGGTCAATGGTAGATGGGGTGATGATCACACCTTTTCAGTGCGCTTACGTTAACCACTAAACTGACACCCTTTATTTACGTACTCCAGTTACTATATATGACCAACAGACTTGGTGTGACTGTTCGGTAATTGCTTAGGGGTTCCGTCCACCTTGACGCTGACGACTAAGCCATTTCTGGCAGAGAACAACTAATCCAGATGAATATTTATTCCCAGACAAGCAGTGCTACCATCTTTACGAGTGTATTCAGCGGACCGTTTATGAAACAACAAGGAAAATCAGAACGTTGAGGGGCACAGTAACTGTCATCACTGTGGTGGTAACAATACAACAAACAGCCGTTTCTGAACAGACAACACTAAAATGAACTTTAGGGTAGTAATGCTTTTAGCATAGAGCAGTGCTCAGTCATGTGACGTTGAAAACTGAACAAGCTGTGCGTTTGTCTGATCACTTTGTTGTTTCCTCATTGAGATATGTCGTAAGATAGACCATGCTGTATTCCTGACCTTATGTGAATTTGTGACGTCGTACGTCTGCGTGACTTGCTGCTTGCCCCACAAGAAAAATCAAGTTATGCCCCTTTCACACACGACAAGCCAAAGCATCGGCTGTGTGGCGACACAAGTAAAAATACACATTCTGCAATTGTGACTGCAGTGACAGACTAGTCAGTTACTCTACTCGCTACTGATCTACCAGTTTTGCGATGAGCACGACTGAATCA